TTATCTTGTAAAAGTTGTTGTAACGATTTATGGAAAATAATGGCATTTTCCGTAATTTCACATCCTAAATTTAAAAGAAATAAAAAGAAGTTTTGACCAACTTAATTATATGCTATTAAACTATTTGAAAAAATGCATGAAGCAGCGAATTTTGACTTAATCTGAATAAGAGATATTACCCAAAATAGAACTAAAACAATTTCAAAATTCCAAAATAGGACTGCCTGTTTTTGAAATTTTGAAACTGTTTTAGTCCTATTTCGGGAACTTTCCCGAAAAAAAATGTATGAGAGCATATTCAGAGGCATCCTAACAAAATGTCACTCTATATCCTCCGAAAAGTGCACTTTACTACAACAGAGTCATAAAGTAGAACCACACACAACTTCTATCAAGAAAACCATACAAACAAATTCATCAATTGAATCACACATAAACGGAGACAAAATTTAACCAGGTTAGAACAAAAACGGTAGTGAGGAGAATTGGCATTACAAATCCAATTAACCGTATAATGAAGATTTAATCACAACTCATCAATACCTTCACAAAAATAAAATGATGATTATTTTATTGATTCTTTTTCATGGTCACAAAATTAAATGACAAAAGTGTTTTAACAAGATTATCTAGTCATTGGCTTGACTACTTTTCATTTATTTGAACTAGACGAAGTACCCGTGCGATGCACGTGGTGTATCTAGAATTAATTGAATCATAACTTATTTAAAATACGACGGTACACAATGTATAATTATGACAAATAAAAAAGACGTTAGAGTTTATGTGTTATGACTTTTATTACATACGTATGTAGTACTAGCTGTAAGAAAGTGAAAAATTGAATCGTATGAAAATTGCAAGTAAAATTAAAATAAATGATAACGTATAACAATAACTTTACGTGACAATGGATAACTTGATAGTACACTTAAAGCCCGTTTGGTAATATCAAAATCGGCTGAATCTACTGATTCTGCTGAAATTTATGTAGTTCTCGCTGAAGTAGTTGGATTGACTGATTCTGTTGATTTATATAAAGATTATATTCAAAATATATTTAATAAGTGACTCATTTACTCCTCAGTTCCTCAAAAATTGATTCTATGTATCAGTATATTCTTTATGATCACCCACTAATCTAAATGCCATGATATGTGTCTTTGAATGTGGGATGCAACTTGATTATTCTTTAGTGTTCCAATTTCATAAAGACTTTATTTTATTGTGGACATTGATTAGATATCCTACTTACATAAGTAGCAAAGAATGTTTTCTTTATAGATATTATCGTCAAAAACAAAGATTCAAGAATTATCATTGTTGGCGTCTGCTAGCTAATCATTGCATTTGCTAGCGAATGGCAGTCACTGATTTGTTTCGCGAAAAAAGATAAAATATTTACAATGTATGTACCACTTTAATTACTTTGTTTTAATTACATTAAAATAAGATTAATTAGTTAGTTCTATATTTTTTTGGGTTTTACCATTTTTAATATATTTTGTAATCTGAACAGAATGATACGTAGTATTACCGCTACAACTACGTAGTACTTCGATTACGAAACTCATTCCTATTACGTAGCGCACCAAACTCGTTAATCGTTATATTGCCTTTTAAATTAAAATGTATATTTATATTTCCTTAAGTTTTTCTGAAACAATATTTCCTTAAGTTTTCTTTAACTTTATCTTTGAAAAGACTGTCTTTTTTTTGAGAAACTTAAAAAAGACTATCTTAAAATACAACTATTTGTATAATATATTACCATCAACTATAGTAACTTATTGATGATTGAACATGTGAACGTCATTTAGAATGTCTGTAATTGGACTGATTTCGATCTTTATGGATTTAAACAAGTCATACCAGACTAGAATACTAGACTTACAGAATAGTAAAATAAAGGTAATGGAAAATAACGTGACTTTTTATAGTTTAGTGACTTGAATTGTAACTTTAGTAATATTGGTGATGTTGAAATTTACATTGTAGTGACTATGGTGATATACTTGTAGTGACTTCGGTCACATTTTTATCGATAATAATATTTCAGGAAACCCCTACTAAATAAATATCTAACAAAAAATACAACAACATCCAAACCTTAATCCCAAAAAAACTTTGGGAACAGTTAACATGAATTAATACATGATTTCATAGCTAAAAGGAAATAAAGATAAAAATAGTAAAAAGGTAAAACGAATATAAAATAAAGATTATATATATGAAAATAAAAAGATAAAATGAATATAAAATAAAGATTATATATATACATATATAGGTTTTGGTTCAAATAAGAACATGATCTTAGGAGAGGAATGAGAACGCATCTGGACCGTTAGATTTGCTTTAAGTGAAATTCAATGTGCATTAGATGAAACTGAAATGTGCATCAGGTGAAATTGAAATGTGCAACACAAAGCGTATGATACAATGTCATTATGTGAAGCTGAATTGTGCATTAGGTGAAATTGAAATATGCACTAGGTAAAACTGAAATGTGCAGAATAAAAAGTACAATGTGATGTTATTTTTGTACATTTTATTCCGCACATTTTAGTTTCACCTAACACACAATTGAGTTTAAATTTTTATTCTGCACATTTCAATATCATCTAATACACATTTCAGTTCCATCAAATGCACATTTCCGTTCCACATAATACAATCCAACGGTCCAAATCCGCTCTTATTTATCTCCTGGGAGTCCGTTCTTACATGAACCGCTCCCTATATATATATATATATATATATATATATATATATATATATATATATATATATATATATATATATATATATATATATATATATATATATATATATATGATAATAAAAAAAAGAACATATTTTCAAAATTTTACAAATGCAATATAAGGATGTTTTCTTTTGGACTGTTTTCAGTCTCAGACCAGACTTCTGTAGTTATAAAATACACAGAGACCAGACATTTATCAGACGAGACCAATATAATGGTTCTAAGAGTCGTAAGAATAGGCTCCAATTATAATGTCCCCAATAACTACATTAGGTTAACCAATGGGAATAAGGAAAATGAAAGAGTTGTTAGGACTGAACCGGGACTGGGTTGCCTGGTCTCCGTCCCCAAAACACACAACAGGGACCCATGTGGTATGCTAAGTGCAAACATGTCAAATTGAATGTGTTACATTCGGAAATTTTAAAATATAACGACGGTATGACATGTTTACTTGCATGAGCAAATATATCAATTAAAATGGAAAAAATAGTATAATATATAATAGAATAGTGATATACATGAGGGTATGGTATGTTAAGTGCAACATGATAAACGAATGTATTACATTTAGAAATTTTAAAATATAACGACACAAGGATAAGGCATTTAATTTAACAAATTAAATATGCATTCTTGGCACCACTCTCAAGTATTAGTAGGCCCCAACAATAGCACACCTTTTCACAGTTGAATATAAGTATAAGCGTTCAATATGATTAATCTAGTTCCATATCAGCAGCAGCCTGATTGACATAATTGAAACTTCTCCAGTTTCTTTATTTCAAAAGGCAGGCTATCATGTTGTACAATGTAACCTGTTGGCTACCTGACACTGGTTCATTTCTATTAATTATATGAAGTCTATTGTATTTGTAGAATAACTAAATCTTGAACACATGTGGAGATCCCAATTGCTACAACTTGTAGTTTCAAAGGACACCAATGTCATCCTGTTTGCCATGCGAAGAAGTGCCCCAGGTTATCTAAATGTCCATGAAGAAAATATCTCTATAAGATCAAATGAAAAAGCATTATAGATGTGCTATTGAAATAAATGTGCTATGGCTAGATACACAACTTGAGAAGAGAATCCAATGCTCCAATGTGCTTGAATTCAGTTTGTTAATCGAAAAACGTAAAAAAATTATTATTTTTATATCGAAATGTGTATTTTTTTATTTTATAATTATTCAAGGAAAAAATCAAAAGTAAAACATTACTTATAATAATTTAATTAATGTTTTACTAAATTGATATGTAAAAAAATATGTAGAGTGTATTTTTTTTGACGGCGCACGGATGCAGGGAAAAACATTGACGGAATCTAAACACTGTTTTCATATAGATGAAGTCCAAAATTAACAATTTGAACTCTTGACCACTAGAAATTGTCTTACTCTCCTTTTCAACCCCCACTACACCCAATCAAGAGTCTAAAAATTCTATTTTTGATTTTTTGACCCTTAATTTTAACCACTACAAATGATGTAAGAGATGGAAAAGTGATTACCCGCACGGGTAACTCAGTTGGTCGAGTGGTGGGAAAATTGGACCAAGTGACCAAAGTTCGAAATCCACAGCGACCGTGTGAAAGTTACAGAACCTGAAATAAGGCTGGACCTCTGGTACGCACGTGTATAAGGCCTACCGCCGCTTTGCTGACTGAGGCACCGTAATCAACCTCCTCACCATTCTGTCGGGTCGGGGGTCTTGAGGTTGGGCATTCAACCGGACCAAGAGATGGAAAAGTGACAAACTTATGATGTCGACTAATTGTTTGGCACTTTGTATAGTACTCCGTATAAAAATTGATATGATTGGTATATGCCACTTTGTATTGTGAATATCCTTGTCTATGTTAATGATTCTTGTAACATACCCGGTAAACAAAAAATGCATTATTGGCGTAGATATTAGCTAATGTTTACTGCATAATACAATAATTAGGGAAAAATTAACAAGAGTAGGAAAAATTATCAAGAGTAATGAATAATTTTGAAAAAAGAGAGAATCTAGAAAAGTATAAAAAAAGATAAAAAAAGAGATAGATTGAATATTTTTAAAAAGAAAACGTCACCTAAGAGAAAATGTAGCAAAACTTAAAATATCATAAAAAAAATGCAACAAACCTTGGAGTAAAAAGTAAAAAACAAAAAATTGATATTATTCGGGTTATAGACACGGCTCTTTCCAGAGCGCCACGTTTTAAAGAATTTAATACCACCGCCGCCACCACTAATGCTCTCTTCTATCACCAGATCTCTTCATTCTTCAACTCAGTGAAGCGCATTCTACTGCATGAACCCTCAATACGAGCTTATACACCCAGATCCCAAAGTACATAGACGCATATCATGGAAAGGTGGCTGCTTTTGCCAGTAGCCGCGGCACACTGTGCGAAAGAGGAGAAAGCTTGCGTGGGGTGGGTGTATGAGCATTTGGGTGACTGTCTTTGCAACATTAAAGACGAACTGTCCTTCGGATTGGGTGTGGTGAGCTTCCTCTTCTGGGGCGTTGCTGAAATCCCTCAGATTGTCACCAACTTTCAGACCAAGTCCAGCCATGGCATCTCCATTCTTTTTCTTCTCACTTGGATTACAGGGTATTTCTTCTTTCCTTCTCCCCTCCTCCAATTCTCCTTATATATATACCCTTGTTATACTGCTTAGTTACATTTTTTGTATGTTTTGATACAGTGACATATTCAACTTAGTAGGCTGTCTTCTTGAGCCTGCAACGGTATGTTTATCTGCATGGTTGCAATATGTTTCAAAGCTAGTTAACAGTTTTATGAGTTTGGAGTTTTCACCAGACTTTTTTCATAGAATGTGTGTTCTGCTTTCGAAATCATTTAAAGAAATTGCCCTAACAGGAGTACAGAACAAGTTGGTTTCCTCATACTGTTTTTTTACCAAATAGGTATAATTACTTTAATCTTGAAGCGATATTGACATATTATACTGTCGTATAATATGGGGAAAAGGCTCAGATATGGCCTTGAACTTACAAAAAATGTTAAATAAGGTCTTATATAGAAGGTTTTGTCTGCCCGACGCCATTTGGGGTGGTTCCCGGTAAATTTTTTAATGGAAACGTTTTGAGCATCTTATTCATTAAGTCTAGTTTACTCATACCAATTTTCAGCTAGAACTCAATCGGGAAGGCATTCAAATAAATTCTTGAAGCTAGGTGCGCAGTTAAAAGCGTAGTTATCCTAAATAATTTATTTGAATGCCTTCCCGATTGAAGTTTTAGCTGAAAGTTGGTATGAGTAAACTAGACTTAATGTATAACATTCTCACAAAATTTTATCGAAAAATTCCACCGGGAACCGCCCCAAATGGCGTCGGCCGGACAGAACTTCCTATATAAGGCCTTATTTGACATTTTTTTGTAAGTTCGAGGCCCTATCTTACCCGTTTCTCTATAATATGATACTCCATACTCTACTCCTTTTTCTGGGAAAATATAATGCTCTTATTCACTGAAAACACCTTATTTTTTACTCCTATTTTGGGATGTCCCGTCATTAATACTTTCACTCTAAAAATTGAAGTTTACACCTCACTTTTTCTTCCAAATTGAAGTTTGCACCCCTTTTAACAGACTTTTCGAAATCTGGGTGCAAATATTAATGATTTTGAAGATGAGGTACAAACTCAAATCTAAAAGAAATGTAGGATGCAAAATCCAATTTTTCCTTTTATTTGTTAGTCATTTAAGGATATTATAGAATCCGATAGGGAGTAGGGTAGGTATAAATTTTTAGGGTGCAGCCCACATCAAACATTCAAGGGACGTGAATATAAGTGTCCAGCTAACTCCATTCGTATGGGCCAAGCAGTGGAAATAGACAAGTGTACTTTAATGAACGTATGGATGCATGGATTTATGCATTATTCATATGTTCTTAAACAAAACAATTTTAGTCTGTTATTTTTATTGGAAATGACTTTGTTTTGATGTACTAAAAAATCTTGCCCCATGTCTTAAGAGAGTTGTAGTAAAATTTATGGTTTTGGGGAAATAAGTTTGTTACAAGGAGCATTCTATGCCTTTAAAATGCTGGTAGATGATGGTGACTGGCAGTTTTCCCTGACATGCTCTTCATACTTTCTACATGCAGTTGCCAACCCAATTGTATACTGCTCTGGTAATTGTCGAAGTTCCCAACTCCTACTTCAAATCAGAATTGCATCACGATGTTAATCTGGTTATCATTTTTAGCAGCTCTATACAGTTACTACTGTGATACTTGTGCTCCAAAGCTTGTACTATGATTATCTGTACAATTGCTTGAAACACAAGGATGTCATTTCAAGCCAACAGGTAAGATTGGAAAATTGGATCTATCCTTTGTATGCATTATTCCTTATCTGCTAAAGATGTTCCTTGGTTCTTGGATTAATAGATTGCTGACGTGAAGAAGCCTCTGATGCCGCAAAAATCTGGTGTCTCCGGCATTGCAATACCTAATGGCACTGGCAGATCATCAAACAGGGTTGAGTATTACTACATGTGAGGCTATCCTCTCCTTTCTTGCCAATGATTTGGTTTCAATAGCAATGGATTTTCTGGATTAATGCTACCAAAATTATGGCTATATTATTATCATATATTATTAACAATAATATACTTCGTATTAATTATTACTATTATTGTTATTCTCATTATTATATCTATGCAGGTCTGCAAGATCATTGGCAGGTAGTGCAACTCCTCCGTTTAGGAGTAACTTATGGCCTGTTAGAAGTGGACCTCCGGCTCTGGATATTGAAAATGATGTCCCTTCAGATGATGAAAATGCTGAGGCAGCATCCAAGAATCCAGTTACCCGTGCTAAGGCTATTCCACGATCTGTAAGTGCCACCTCTTCTCTCTGCAGTTATGTTATTGCAGTGAGTTTGATTTAGAGGGGGCAGGCAATTCCAACAATCTATAAGATGAGTATTGTAGATATTCAGATACTCCAAATGACCCTAATTATTTGAATAGCAACCTGGTGTAGAAAGTACTCATGATTCGGTTAAGTAACATAGATCTACAAGTTGAAAAGTTTGTCCCATGACCCATATTGACTAAATATGAAATAAAAAACCAATCTACAAGAACATGAGCTTGTAAGTTTATCAGTTTGACATTTTAGGATGAATTCCAAAACCATAATATAGCATCATTGTTAGCTCAATCTATAACAATGATGGTGCTCCCTATGATGGAAAAATGCATTGTTCAAATGAGGTGTCAAGCGGTGAAAGTATGTGTCATTATGAAAAAGTATTGTGTAATTGAGATGACGTGTCGGACGGTAGAAGATGTTTGGAGGTTTTTGTTGTATATTGGCTAAATCTGAAATAACAAACCCAAATATAATAAACTTTTAGGATGTAACCCCAAAACGTTATAATAATAAGCCAGATTGGTTGTGTTCAAGTTGAGAAAACATAGGCGGGCAAGAGAAGTCTAGGTCTTAGACTGGGATTTTTTATTAAGGAGGGTTTAACTAACCTTATTGAAGAATATATGTGTTACAGGCAGGTTATGGTGCATTTCTGGCTACCTCAGTTAATATACCTCACCAAGCTAAGGCCTTAATGTCTACATACGTTGCTTTCGGTGGAAGGAAATTACTGCAGGCATGAACTCATTGAACCCAAATTCATTTGTTCATTGAAAAGTTCAACTACCATCTTCAACTTTAGTTTTAGCTTATCGTCATGTCAACATTTTTTTCCTTTTTAGGGAAATGGCGCGGATCACAGTGCTACTGGAGAGTGGTTGGGATGGATGATGGCTGCTATCTATATGAGTGGCAGAATCCCACAGATATGGCTAAACGTAAGCGCTAATGATCAATACCTTTAAAGCACTTAGTGCTTGTTTAGTCGCATTATGCATGATATATGTAGATTTAGGCAGAGTCAAAGTGGGGGGAAAACCTAAGCATCCAAAGAGGGTCTGCCGGTCTGGTTCTTAGGCAGGGATTAGTTGCGCCCTATGTTGAACGGAAACGCGAAAATCATGAGGAAATGGGAAACGGGAAACATCAACTTTTACTCAAAAAAGGCTTGTTTGGAGAGTTTCTGTAGAGTTTCCGAAACGGAAACATACTCTTTCCCTAGAGTTTCCGTGCTACATAGGTTGCGGCTAAACAAGAGTTTATGCCGAGTGTAATTATGACTAACAATTACACAATCCAGAAGAGGTGTGTGCTTGTGAGGGGAGGGGTCTTGACTAAATATGAAATAGCAAACCAAAGTGGTTGCTTATGAAAAACAAACTAAGTTGGGTTTGTCCCTATAGTAATATTACTAATACAAAGCTATTGGACAAAAATATGGCTACATAGGACTTAGAGTCACTGAAAAACATCATCATGGTCACTGTATAGTAAAACAGAACATCATCATGCTCACTACAGTCACTGCAAAAACACTACCATGACCACTGCGTAGTAAAACTCACATTTTTGTACATTAATTTTGTATGTCATATACTCATATATGTGTCATTATTTCTTGTTCTTTTGACAAATTGCTTCACTTTCACCAATGTCATTTCCTTGTTCTACCAGATAAGAAGAGGAAGCGCGGAGGTAATGCCCTAAAAATACTCTAAAGCCAAATTGTTGTGCTTGTGACTTTTGGATCGCATAGCAAACGTCTCTTTTGTATCATGCAGGGATTGAACCCATTTATGTTTATCTTTGCACTTGTTGCAAATGCCACTTATGTGGGAAGGTAAGCTCGCATTCCGTGCTCACTGTCCCAAACTGCCATTTTTGGTGCTCTCTCCATTCTCTCATCCAAATTACTTGATGCAGCATTGTTGTGAGAACAACGGAGTGGGATAAGATTAAACCCAACTTGCCGTGGTTGTTTGATGCTGCTGGCTGTGTCATGCTTGACTCATTTGTATCCTATCTCCTAGTAGAACTTTTTTTTTTGTTTTCGTTGGAGCGTAGAAAAGGGTGAAGGTATACAAGATACTAAACCGTTCAGCCACCATCATCTGTTCAACCTTAACTGCACTGACAGATCATATCACAATACATTTACTACAGGTATTTCAAAAAGATGGCCTCTGTGGAAGAGAAATGATATGAAGATTACACTGAACAAGTGAAGTGAGAAAATAGTGATAATGTTATTTATTCTAATCCAAGTTGAATTTATATACTAGGCTCCAGTTATGCGGATTAACTTCTTTGTTCTTTAGCAAAATGACTTATTTTAACTTTGTAACACGTGTTTTGCACTTTTCTTCTCACTTGTTAGACAAATTGTTGGAAGAGTTTCTGATGAACATACAAGTGCACACAGCGAGGTTAGGAAGAGTGTTCGCTGAAGTAGATGCAATGCCGAATATTTCAACGGTCAAGTTTAAGTGCATGCTTTAAGTGCGTGGTGGGAATGCCACATGAGATAGGACTCGTTACTGTCTTTATTAATATTCATGTTGTTATTTAGTATTGTCATTTCCTAAAGTGTAGCTATTTGTTAGCAGTAGTTATTTCCCATTATTTGTATTTTGTCATATATATATGCATCAGTTTTAATAAAAAAGGCAGACTTTGCTTCGGCCAAACTATTCTTCTGAAGTTCATCCTCTTCTTTCTGGTGAATACATCTCTGAGGATTCACCAGTTTCAGCATTTTCTTTTTAATTTCCAGAATTTAGGAGTGCTAGTTGTCTCTGGAACAGGCAAAGAGAACTTGTTCAGAGCTGGCCAGCTCTGGTTCAAGTTCCTCCAAAATAGGACCTGGACTGGCCCGCAGCCGTTTAAAACTTTAAATTGGCTAAGAATCTGCATGATCATTTTTAGGTAACCTTTTAAATTCAATTAGGTTTCAAGCCTAGTATTATTGTTTTGATATTTGTAATATTTTTAAATTTGAAATAAAAAATGTCTAAGTTTGAAATATCTTTAATGTATATTTGTGACTAATAAATTAATAATATTCATATTCCATCATTTGCAATGGAGCCAAAGATTCATTATTTTTTGGCTTGAGATTATGATGGAATAAAGCAAAATGACTCACTAAACTGTCTGCGCTTCTTTGTTATGAAGCAGCAGTCAGTCCATGCAATTTTGGACGGGATTTTCACTATGGATCATCCGGAAACAGTCTCTCTGTGCTTTGGTACAGGGGTAAGACTGCGTACATCCGACCCCCCCTTACCCCACCGTAGGTGGGAGCCTTTTCGGCACTGGGGTAAATGAAAATGAATTAAGTTTTGTATTTGCAAATACATTTTAGTAGAAAACAAAATTGAGACGTGTGGTAGGAGGATCCTCGGAATGCAGCTCAGCTATGTGGGCTGCCAGGATTCACCATGTGGAGTCAGTACTGATGATGTTGTGATTAGATCCGGATTTAACTGTCTAGGAGCTTTGGAGGATAGTTCATAGACTCTAGAATTAGGGGAGCACAGACACCGACACCTGGATCATAAAAAACAAAACAAAATTGAGACCGGACCAAGTGTGAACTGGCTTGTTGGCTAGGACTGGCCCGAACTTCTTAAACAAGTTCACATCCCGGGCCCAGAGGCGGATTGAGCATTTTGGAGGCCCCAGACGAAAAATATTTACTATGTACAAATCACTTTTAAAATCAGATAAATTGAATAAAAATCGCCTTATGAAAAAAAGCATATTCAAAGTCCACGATATAATGTTTGTAATATTCAAAAGGATAAATTTTAAAATGCAAACTTATTCAAAACACAAGGCAAACTTGTACTTGTAAAAGTATTAAGAGACTTCAAGAACGAGACTCGGAGAGAAGAGCTGAAGAGTCTTAGTTGATTCACTAACCAAGGACCCATGTCGACGGCGGGCAGTGAGGCATATATACAGTAGCCGATTAGCGGTCTGTGTTGGACGTTGATGCGTGTTGAGATCGGCTTTTGATAGTTTTTTCCTAACTTTAAGGTGTCATAAGTCTCAATTTTAAGCTCAAGTCATATTTACCGGCCGTTGGTTCGAGTTTTGGTATTTTTGGAGTCAAAATCAGGGAATTTGAGCCTGACACCACCGGTGTTTGAGAAGCAATAGGGACGAGTTGAGAAGCATTTTAGAGTTGATTAGGAAAATTGGAGATCAGTGATGTGTTAAAGACAAAGTTTTGAAGACAAAAGAGCTCTAGAATTGGCTACGAGATCAAAAGAAGACGAATAGAGCTTGAAAACAACGATCGGAATGACGTTCTGTCAATCGTTCAAACATATCTTTTCTTAGGAACATCCAACAAACATGATTGAAGTTTCATATGAAAGCCAACTTCAAGGGCTACAAATCATATGAAGACACCATTGTGAGAATCTGAGAGAAGCAAGGTGAAAACAAACGATGAAGTCAGATAATCTCTGTTGAGATTTCAGAATGCGACATTCCACCATTTTATTCATATATTTTTATTGGATGATTCAAATCCAGTTTTGCAAGTTGTGTTGGATAGAAGACTTCATTGGCTACAACTTTGATGAAGGACGGATAGTCAAAAGTGAACTATAAAGCTGATTTCTTCTTGCAGTTGCCGCTCGGTGTATTGGCGGTCTGCGAATAACACCTAATACTAATACCAGAGTAGAATTTTTTGGAGGCCCCCTTGGTAGTTGAGGCCCAAGGCAGTTGCCTGGCCCAACTGCCCTCAAATCCGCCCCTGCCCAGGCCCCTATTTAAAAAGGACTGATAGTTCAGGGGCCATAACCAACATGAAGTTGGGCCGGTCCACCCCTAAGATGGTCTTTTTCTACTACTTCGGTGAAGGGTTTTCTATAGGTGAAAACAAATTGCTTGGACTGAGAAATGGGCTACAAACCTGTAATAACTTGCTATACATAGATATTGACAGGGCATATTGCTTTTGTACGCTCATATGGACTCTTCTGATCATCTTTTTTTAATGTATGCATTTACAGAAGCAATCTTGGAAAGAATTAGACATTGGCTTAAGATCAAGAAGAATGCTTCTACACTTTTGAGAGCATGGTAAAGTTAAATACCGTTTATATACTTCCCCTTCGTCTTAAGGAAGATAATTAATGTAGTTTGATTTTATTAGTATGCCCTCTCTTAAAAAGTAGATGCTTCTGGGTAAATGAAAAAAGTGCAAAAGTAACGGTAGGTTTGTCACTTCATTCATATTCTCATAACTAAAATAGAAAGTGGAAAATTATTTTGAAAACTAAAATTAGAAATTTTGCAATTTAAATTGGAATGAATAGTATCAGAAATGGGGTGAAAAGCTAAATTTGAGCTTTCACTCCATTTACTTGTGAAAATAATGGCATAGATATTACTATTGGACTTCTTATGCACAAAAATATGATTGTTTTTAATTTTTCCAGGAATATGACGTCCTTTTCCGTCTGTTTTTAAAATACTCCTAGCGCCCATCTTACGCTACCCGCTCTTCCACGCACGCAGGAGATGGCTGATTCCTCTCTAGCTCCCAACGTTTCCTCTCTACAATTAAAACGTTGGGGCAGGGAGGGGGCTGGTGGGATGGGGAAGGGGCTGGTGTGAGGGTTGGAGAGGCGGTAGTGGCGGTGCCGTTGGCGTGGAAGCCATATTTGGTTGAAATTTACATTTCCATCAATCATAGTGACATCGGCGGTGGAGGTGTCACTGTGGCTAGAGGTTGGGGTGGAAATGGTTAACAACACAGTGACACGTTTAACGACGGCACGATGACACGTTTGACGACAGAAGTGACATAAAAGTGACATGAAAACCGAAAGTGACATTCAAAAGTGACATAAAATAAGTGACATAAAAAACTAACAGTGACATAGAATGGTAGTCCGAGGGTCCCAACCGTAGGTATTACCTACTCCATCCGTCCCAATTTGATAGTTTCATTTCTTTTGGGCACACGTTTTAATAAAGTGGTTGAAAATGTAAAAGTTGTGGTTGAGATTTGAATATAATAAAGTGAAATGATATGGAACACATCTTTCTTTCCAAAAAGGAAACATGACCATCATTTTGGGACATCCCAAAAAGAAAATACAGGACCATCATTTTGGGATGGAAGGAGTAGTATATTTCTTTTTAAAATTATTACGTAGTACAAGTATAATTTTTTATTTGCGCTTCAATATTTATAAAACATTATCAATTCATAACTTTCATCTATTATATCATCAATATATCATACACCTAGTATAATACTAAAAAATACATAGTAGAAGATTTGACTCCTGGGGGGTTTTAGCCCCAATTGTTTTTTAGGTACATTCAAATCTTAAATTCAAAATCTCATTGTTAGAATTTGTTTTAATCTTTCAGTAATTTTTTTTTTTTTGAAAAACAAGTCTGAAATAACAAAAGTAAAATTAATTATAAACACAAAATTTAATATTTTTTAAATCACCATGTTTGTCTTTTTAACTCATATTTGTTCATTAAAAAATAGTGTCGAAAAATTAGTTAATAATAATAATAAAACTAAGGATTTTAATTCAAAAAAACTCGGTTGGGTGAATACATCTACAGTGCTAGACCGCAAGAAACAATTGAATCGACAATATGAATACAAAGTTTTGATATAAATTCATCTAGAATTTGATTTAGTTTTAATGGCAAAATATGGATGCACTAATTGTGAAGTGAGATTTGAGAAAAAATCGTACTACCTCCGTCTCAAAATGATGGTCCTGTATTTATTTTTTGAAATGTCCCAAAATGATGGTTATGTTTCCTTTTTTGGAAAGAAAGATGTGGTCCATATCATTTCACTTTATTATACTCAAATCTCAACCACAACTATTACCTTTTCAACTACTTTATTAAAACTTGTGCCCAAAAGAAATGAGATCATCAAATTGGGACGAAGGGAGAGAGTAGTTTATTGAGAAAATTGTCCAATATAGGACTAAAACTCAATCTTTTTCTCAAAATAGGACCACATGCATGTTTTTCTCTAATAGGACTAACCTTACCTTTTTCACCCCTAATTCTATTTAATTAATTAATTGATCTAAATAATTGCCCCCCCTAGTTTCCTTGCACAACCAAGGCAGTCTGGAGGTGGCGGCAGCTCGGCGGCAGCGGAAGAGGCGGTTTCCGGTGGCGGCGGTGGCAGTGGCGGTGGTTTCCGGCGGCGGCAAGAAAATAACAGACATTAAATAGACAATAAATAGACAATAAGTAGACAATAAATAAACAATAAATTCTGATAAACACCATTGCGGCGGCGGAGGTGGTGGCGGCAGAATCTGGCGGCCGCCCAGATATTTTTTGGAATTTTCCGGCGGTGCTCCGGCGGCGGTGGCCGGAGGTCCGGCGGCGGCGGAGGTGGCGGAGGCAGAATCTGGCGACCAGCCAGATATTTTTTGGAATTTTCCGGCGGTGCTCCGGCGGCGGCGGCGGCAGTGGCCGGAGGTCTGGCGGCAGGCGGCTGGCCGGAGGTCTGGCGGCAGGCGGCTGGCCGGAGGTCCAGGGGCAGCAGTGGGGGTATTTTGGTCCAATCACACATAAAAAGTCCTATTTAAGAATGTTTAAACTAATTGGTCCTATTTTGGAAAAAAAGCCATGTTTTGGTATTATTAAGATAAATCTCCCTAGTTTATTTGAAGCTGTTACTTGGAAGTCAGATTTGGTATAGCCCTTTTCTACCATTTGCAATT